AGCCATACTAAAGAATTGGATCCATAAGACACAGGTTAAAGAAGTGGTTGATGGAATGATCAGAGAAATAAAGAAAGTAGAGAGGTGCTGAGCATTGGAATGGCTTGACAAACTCTGGGGACTATAGAAATTCATTTGATGAGCCAAAACACCTTCCTATCTATAATGCTGATGGAACCAAGAACCAGACAGGTTCAATAACTGAGTTTGTCAAACTATAGTTCATGATTGGTGATCACTCTGAAAGGATCGATTTAGCTATAACCAATCTAGGAACTAAAGAAGTGTTTCTTGGTCATGACTAGCTGATCAGGCACAATCCACTGATCAACTGGAAGACTGGAAAGATAACCTTTGCCCACTGCAAATGCCACAAACTCCTCTTTGAGTTACTAGATAGGAACTCTGAGGATTGGTAGAATAAAGAAATAGAGAATGGAGAAACCATCCTCACCATTGATCTTCAGTGCAAAATGCATATTTGCATAATACACCATGCCAATAACCTGGCAGCCAAAGCCAACAAATAAAAAGAAGAAAAAACATTTGAAGAAATGGTATCTAAATAGGCCTATGACTTCAAGGACTTATTCAAAAAGGAAAGCTTTGATGAGCTCTTAGAACCCAAACCCTGGGATCACATGATCAAGTTAATCCCAAATGCCAATGCTAATCTCAATTGCAAGACTTATTCACTCAGAAACAATAAGCAACAAGAGCTCAACAAGTTTCTTGATGAAAACTTGTCCAGCAGAAAGATCTAACCATCAAAGTCCCCTATGGCATTGCTATTCTTTTTTGTAAAAAAGAAGGATAGCAAACTCTATCCAGTTCAAGACTACTGAAAGCTTAATGAAATGACAATTAAAAATCATTACCCCCTTCCTTTGATTTCAGAACTGATGGATAAACTGTGGGGAGCCTGGTATTACACCAAGCTCAATGTTTGGTAGAGATACAATAATGTGTGGATCAAAGAGGGTGATGAATGAAAGGCTGCTTTCCACACCAACCAAAGGCTGTTCAAGCCAACTGTAATATTTTTTAGACTCACCAATTCCTCAGCCATGTTCCAATAGATGATGAACAACATCTTCAAAAACCTCATTTTTACTGGAAAAGTCACCATCTATCTTGACAATATTCTGATCATGTCAAAAACAGAGGAGCACAGAGAGCTAATACAGCAGATACTAGCTCTAATAAGGAAACACAAATTGTTCCTTAAAGTGGAAAAGTGCAAATTTGAGATACTTGAAACCAAGTACCTTGGAATCATAATTAGCAAGAGGAGTATCTGAATGGACTCTATCAAGGTAGTGGGAGTGACAGAATGGCCCAAACCAAGCAAAAAGAAGGAATTGCAATCCTTTCTTGGCTTCACAAATTTCTACTGATGGTTTATCTGAGATTACAGCAAGATTGTTTAACCAATGACTTAATTAACTGGTAATGCCTCCTGGACCTGGAGATCCTGTCAGCAGACAGCATTCAATGATCTAAAGTGACACCTCACTGAGGATGTAATTCTCACCATTCCTACCCAAGAAGAGAAGTTTCATGTAGAAGCAGATTCAAGTGAAGGAGTGATAGGCACAGTTCTATTCCAGAAGCAGGATGGGAAATAGCACCCTGTCGCATTCCTCTCAAAGGCACTGTCAATGATGAAACAAAATTATGAAATCTATAATAAGGAGTTGCTCATAATAATGCTCACTCTGGAGAAGTGGTGATATTATCTGATTGGAGCTGCCCAAACTTTTGAGATCTAGACAGACCATCAGAACTTATGATACTTCTGACAACCACAGAAGTTAAATTGATGCCAAGCCCAGTGGGTAACCAAATTAAGCCAATATCAATACACATTATATCAGAAAGTGGGCACAGCCAATAAAAAGGCCAACCTTCTTAGTCAATGGGCAGATCATGACCAAGGAGGAAGTGACAATGAGAGAGTAATGCTGCTGCAGTCCAAGCACTTCAGGGCTATGATAATGCTAACAGAAGAGGAGATCCATGAATGGATCAAAAACACAACTTGTGATGCTCAAAAATAAAATCAGCAAGTCACTCTATTGCTCAATCATAAAAGGAGGATGATGAAAAAAGGAGAGTTAATTTGCTACAATGGGTGAATCTATATACTCAGAGACCATAGTCTCCATGGCAAGATTATTACCATCTGCCATAACTATGTGATAGCAGCAGCAGACTATCTCAGCATTGCCAAGACTAAGGAACTCATATTATAGGAATACTGATGGCCAAAAATGGATAATGACATTACTCAGTATGTCAAGGCATGCAAAGTCTACCAAAGAGAAAAATCATCAATGCAATCTTAGGCTGCACCCCTATACTCCAATGAGGTTTTGTTATCCCCTTAGACCCACATCTTGATAGACATGATTACAGATCTGCTGGAGTGCAATGGCTATGATGCCATTATCATCATCATTGATCAGTTCTCAAAGGTAATCATTCTGATAGCCTGCTTAATAGAATTAGTCTCCAAGAGATGGGCCAAAATCCTATGAGATGAAATGTATGCCAAGCATAGCATGCCTCAAGTCATCATCTTGAATCACAGGCCTCAATTTGTGTCCAAGTTCTTGGATGACCTTTATTGACTCCTAAATATCAAACACAATGCATCTACAGCATATCATTCTCAGATAGATAGACAGATCAAATGAGCCAACCAAAAAGTGGAAAAGTACCTCTGCCTCTTTATTAACTACCACCAGGATGACTGGATGGAATGGCTGGCTCTCACCAATTTTCAACACAATAATCATATACACTTAGCCACCAGCAAGACCCTCTTCTTTATTAATCATGGCTGACACCCTAACATAATCCAAATAAGGAAACAGCAGACCTCCACACCTATGTCAACAGATTTTGCCAATACCATGACAAAAATCCATGAGAAAACAAAGGCAGCTCTGAAGAGGGCCACAACTGTTATGAAAAAACAATATGACAAGCATTACTGCTCTGCATATGAATATTGAACCAGCAACAAAGTCTGGCTCAATACCACAATCCTTCACTTACCACATCCAAAACACTGACACACCCTCTCTATGTTCAGGCATGTAAGATTGCAAAAATTGTGAATACATGGACTGCATTCCAGGCCAGTAAGCATGTAACAGAAAATAAAACTAGAGCATACAGAAACCTAGCTATCATAATGCTAAACTGAAGTAACAATAAGCAGAGTGCATGGCCTAGTAACAGACTAATACCAGAGGGATTAGGCTGCATGTGAGATCCCAGCACTTGGCCCCAAATGCACCAATACTATTATGAGAAGACATGCTAAAAATAAAAAGACTACAATCAAAATATGATCAGCAAGTCTGATCACATTGATCAAAGATGAACAGCCATTGATGCACTGATAGGACATGCTTTAGAACAGAGAACTGAGATCCAAAGAAAGGTATCTGAGTAAATGGGTATCGAACAGAGAAATAGCCTGATGACAACAAGCTAACAGATAGAGGAATATTACTCCAGGAATGAATAGCACAGATACTGCCCTGAGCCTTGCATGCATACATATGGTGCCTTAGCATGCATAACACAGTGAGGGACTGCACATTGTACCAAGAAATGGCACCTTTGATGAGTCAGATAGAATGACTGGTTGGACACAGGAAAACAGAACATAGCTGTTGTGGCTGACTCCTGGTATGAGAAATAACTCTGGGGGTCTGGGACAGTTTACTGCTGTCAGAGATGTCACTGGAGAAATAAGAAAGTGAGCAGACCTGGTGAGGCCAGCTAGCTGATGTCAGCTAGTGAAGGAACAGTGGGCACAGTCATTGCTCAGAAGAGAATAAGTGCAGTGATTGCAATATATATGTGAATAATACTTATGGGATCTGGCATGGAGTCCCATGCTTTGAGGATACTATAGTAGGATTGTATTAGTAAGTACCATAGTAGAGTATTTAAATACAGTATTGTATGACTGGAGGAAGAAGTTTTCTGACCTCCCACAGTTGTGGTGTATTGAGCACAGAAAGCCTTGCACTCTAGCTCTGGGTTTGTGTTAGTAACTCTGGGCAAGAGAATAAACTGATTATTGATATCATTAAGAGCACTGTGAGAACTAAGTGAGGCATCAAAGCTTGCAAAGGACTTGAGTCCAGTTTGATAAGAGGTTTTGGATTGCACTTTAACCTGAGAATAAGAGAGTGGTGTCTGAAGAGCATCATCTTGAGTTTTTGAGGTATTTGTGATGCACAGCACTACAGGTGGCAGAGGTTCAAACCTTTTGGTCTGTCAGACAGTGTTTTATTGGATTTTGTGTCTCTGGATCACATAGGTTTGAATCCTGTGGGTCTATGATCGGTTTGGAAACTTGTGAACAGAGATCTGTGCTTTTGGTCACTTGTGGATGTATTTGTGATTGGTTTTTGCTTAGAGCATGAAGCTTTGAGTTGTGTATTGTGTGTGTTAGGTATTTGAGTTGATCTGAGCTGTGCTTGGCACCATTTGAGAGTTTTGAAGGAGTGTTTTGATATATTGTATTGAACTGCAGTACCCTTTGCCTTGAGGCCTGGTAACATCAGTTGTCATCTCTTGTTTTGATAAAACGAAAAGCTTTGAGACTTAGAAAGGCCTCAGACTGTTGTAAGTGCACTATTACTGTTTGCATGCTGTGATCTCATTGAAGAAGACAATTATATTTGTTGATTGCTACTTTTATTGCATTATAATCCCTCCATGAACTAAGAGTTTTGTGTATGTGTTAGTGTGAGTGTAGACAGTGGATAACACTCTGCTGTATTTGTTTTCATCTTGCATGCACTCAGATTCTCTTCACCAGTTTGGGCATATACACATCATACTTATATAAGAAATTCTCATATCTGATGATTTATCAGGCATGGGTGCTGTTCTCATGCCATTTCTTTCTTTCTTTCCTCCCACTTCACTCTTTCAACATCTTTCATGCTGTTTCTCTAGCTTGTCTCGCTATGACAATCTTTATCCCTTTGCTCACTATTCCTGTGACTACTCTTGCAGATAATCTCATTGGTGCCTATGCCTTCATAGCCACATACTTCGATTCTTCTGTGGCAGATATCATAGAGCCCCAAGATCTCATTGTTGCTGTTAACCAGGCAACCTCTTACTTAGTGCATGCTTACTTTCCACTCATTAGCTCACTGTTCATGCCTACTTTGCCTCTGTAGGCAGCATATCATGCTGGTCTCATGCATTTCGACCTGTGTAACTCCAACTATAGCATGTCCTTTCATTTAGAGCTTGCCAAGCCTGTTCAGCATATCTCTACTCATCTCTAATGCAAGGAATGGAAAGCTTGGGCACTTACAGAGGTGGAGCATAAGAATTCCTTGGTATGTCCCCTTATTTCCCAGCCTGCTTCACTTGCTCATATTTCCCTCATGCTAGTGGGACTATGACACTTCTCTTCTTCTGCCTGGGGAGCCGGGTTATAAGGATGAGAATCCATCCTCCATTCTCCACCAGCTTCTGCTCCCTTCATGCACTATCTCTGCCCTCCCTGCTCCAGTGGTTATTGGCCCTACTGCCTTAGTCCCCAAAGTTGTGGAACCCAAGGCTAGCTTATCTGAGTGAGTTCTGATCTTTATTGCTCTTTTGTGTCTCTGTTAGCTCATACTATTGCCCTACTTGTAGAGTCCTCTGGCCAATACCTATTAGGACCCTCCAGGTTTCAAGAGAACCTAGTAAGTTGCACTCTGTCTCTCTCCTTCTTACTGTAGCTCCTTTCTTTTTTCTAGGTTTTCCTCTTGTTACTAAAAATACTATCTCCATAGTTCTTTCAGCTGTCAGTTCTGGCTCAGTAGGTTATCCCTTTTTGTATCTGGATTTTCACCTTCTCATCATCTTTACCTTTGCAGAGGACCACAGTAGTTCATAAACATCAGCAGGAGACAGGAATCCTGGCTCCTGTAAGTCAATCTTTCTTATTCCTCTTTGCTTGTGCTCATTTCTTCTCTCTTCTCCTAGATTGTACCTGCCCCTGCCTCTAAGAGGGCCAAGCCTATCCTGTATGTTGTTTATATTGCCTTCAGCTATATTCTCCTCATCTTCCATTTTCCTTAGTGTGGCTAGCTCATCTCAGTCTTGTGTGCAGCCTTTGGTACCTCTTTTCTCAGTTTCTCAGACCACCTTCCAGTGGAAGCCAATTCCTGGCTCTCTTGAATTCTCTGTCCCATCTGGTGTGTTCTTTTATTCCTTCTCTATGGTTTTTCCTTATTCTCTGGTTGATATTGTCTTTCAGCTCTATCCATTGATCACAATACTAGTACTCCTTCTGCTGTGGAGAGTGCTAGGTCTGCTGGCTCTTCTCCATGCTCAGTCAGTACTCCTGATCCTCCTAGTGAGGGTCCTGAGGGTGCTCCCATGGAGGCTGTTCCTTCAGCTCTGGACAGTCCATTATCTCTCTCTCCTCATGCATATCATCCTTTGACTGGTGAGCCTCTCTCTGGTATCACTTATCTTGCCTTTTCAGCCCCTTCTAAATCTGCTTCTCCTCCTCCTACACATGCATCTTTCTGATGCAAAGAGATGACAGTTCTGGTGGCCTCTGAGAAGCCTCCTCACTCTCAGTGTATGCAGCAGTCTATTCTCACAGTTTCCAAGGCTCCTGCCAATATGACTGTGAGAGAGACTGTTAACCATACTATTTATGCATGCACCTTTCACCTGGCCATTGATCTCCAGTTCCATGAATCTCCTTCCTGTCAGGCCCTAGAATTCATGAAGCTTTCTATGCTTCCTGTTGCTCCTGACTCTTTGACCAAGTGAGTCCTTTCTTTTTGTTTTTTATTCACATTCTGATTGTATTTTCTTTACAGACCACCTGCATGATTGCACAGTGGCCAGGAATATGTCTACCATTGTCATTCTGATAAAAATCCTTATTTCATCCATTCTCCTCTGGTATGTTTGTCTTTTCTGTTCCTCTTTTCTGTTCTTATTTCCTCACTCACTAGCTTTCTTGGCCATGCTTTAACTGCACTTTGGCTGGTTTCCCTGAGGAGTGCATTTTTGAGAGTGGTGTTGGCAAGGAGATCTGTATATGCTGCAAGTCCACTTGTCATTGCCATTGCTCTGCATGCTGGGATGCCAATCAGCTCCATCATGCTGCTACCTTATTGGATCCTCTCATTCTCAGTGGTGATGGTGGTATGTCTTTTCTGATCTCTGTTCATTTCTGGTCTGCCTGATTGTCTTGCTCTTAGCTATTCATCATGGCATTGACCATATCAAGTGTATTGAGATCAAGATCAAGCTGCTCATAAGATCTCTTCAGCTCTTGTATGAGGACTGGCAGCAGGTTGTGAGTGAGCTTACTGATGGTCTTGATGCCATTGCTTCTCATAAGCATAGTACTGAGATCATTGAAGCTTATGCATAAGTCTCTGATCTCCTCAAATCTTTCTTGGTATACCCTGGTTCTAAGGATGCATCTATTGATGGGGATGCCATGGTGTCTAGCTCTGACACTGAGTAAAGCCTGGTACCTCTCTTAACATATCTTAGATGCTTGTACTTCTTTCTGTTTCTTTTCTTCACACTATGTTTTCTTGTAGATATTCTTCTTTATTTATAGTAGCATTCTGTTCATAGCTTGTTGTCATATTGTATGCTCTTTTTCTTGCAGGCCTGTAGGGCTCTAGTATACCAATATACCTCTTTTGTTGCACTCTTTTTGATTTCAGCTGAGCCTGAGTTTCATATTTCAATCTCTCTGGCTTACAAGAGTCCTGGTTACCACATTGAGCTCATATCTGAGTCCTGCACATCAGTATTCTTTATTCATTATTTCTCCTTTTCTGTTATTTCATAAGCTGTCCCATTGCTCTCTTTCAGCCTGTTCTTCTTATTTCCTTGGTGGGATGTCAGTATCATTGCATGTTGACTCTCCTTTAACTGTCTGGATCTGTCACTGCTATCAATAATTTGATTTTCTGTCATTATTCTATTATTTCTTTTTCATTTCTTCTGTTTCTATACCTAGCAGAGATTGCAATCACAAAATTTACTGTCTCTGTTATAGTAATACCCTAGGTATACCACTATATCCTTCACATTAAAAGCATCTAACTGTTCTCAGTTATAATTCAAATGACAATTCATTTATTTTATAAGGCCAGATCAGGTTTCTGAGTCCCACACATGTCAAATGTTAGTTTTCTGAGCTTGGCACCCTTAATGTCTGTCCTTTCTCACAGAATTTCTTTTTCTGTTATTATTTTCCTGATCAAATATTATTATTGCATGGATATAAAGGTTGAGGGTTTTTCATCTTGTTTTGACTCCACTCATCACCTCTCTTATTGTCTTCACTGTTACTTGTCCATTTCTTCTCCATTCTCTGTCAAAATGATCTCTACTTTCATTGTTGTGAAGGCTGTCATCATGTCCCTCTGCAAGGATCCTGCTACTACTGTGAATGATCATTTTGATCAACTCCAGGAGTATACCATATGTGTTTGTGCATTATTCCTGCTGTTTTACTGACTTCTATATGATAGTCTCATCTTGAGCATTATAAAAGTGAGCTCACCAGGGATAAGGACCTCAAGGAGTCAGTTTTTCATGCTTGCACTGCTATTGAAAAGGAATTCCATACCAATGCTTCCAAGCAGTCTATCTATAAGGTGCTCAAGACCATCACTGGATGGGTTCAAAGTGAGCAAGGTCAGCTTGCAGATGGTGAGCCAGGTGCTCTTTCTATTCTGACTGGCCCTCATCATGATTCTAAGCCAGTTTGTACTCATTTTCTCTGTTTAATAGTTCCTCTGACTGATTTTCTCCTGCTAAGCCAGAGTCATTGCATGCAATAAGGGCAAAGGCTGCACTATTTGTCATTCTCATGTCACCATTGATACTGAGTCTGATGATGATGAGGATGATCCAGACAAGGTAGCAGTCCATTCTGATTCTGATACTGAGTCTATTAAAGTATGCCTAGTCTTCATGATCTCTGCTTGACTATCTGATGTCTAATCTCCTCAAGATGGTCATTGATGAGGAGGCCTCCAGGGCTGGGTGGTTTCTGAAGTTTTTCAAGGCTAAGTCTAGCAATGTGGTTACTGAGGACAAGCATAAGGAACCCTACAAGATCAGAGTCTTTGCATGTTATCAGTGTCCCCTTCACTAAGAGATTGTAATTCTAGGAAGAGCCATCTTTCTGTGTGCATTGTGGTGCCAATAGTCATTCTTTTGCTGATTGCTCCAATAAGGGTCAGGTATGTTGTCTCCTTTTCTTGCCTATCACTTGTGTTTCTGACCAGTAAAGTGGCTCAGACAACTTCCCAAAGGTTTATCAGCAAAGACAGTGCTTGTGCTTGCAAGTGTGCTAAGCCATTATTCCTGCTTCCATCAGCCCAGGAGTATTTCCATCATGGTTCTCATGGGATCAGAGAGTGGCACCCTGCCTCAGCTCTTGGACTTGTTAGTACCTGTATGTATCTCTTTTTCATTGCTTGCTATATCATTTCTTAATTGCACTCTTCATATTTTCAGTTGCTGATGATGAGGGAGCTGCTCCTAGTGTCAATGCTTTGTGTGAGAGTTATAAGGGATTAGCTATGGGTCATTTCATGGTGAAGAGACCTGAGCATCTGACCAAGCTCAAGAGTGCCCTCATGGATGATGTCCTTGTGCTCCAGCACACTCTATATGCTGCTGAGAAACAGTGCACTTTTCTCCTTGATGAACTTGAGCACATCCAGTCTGCCCTTCATCTCTCAGTTCCAGCACCAGCAGACTCTGGAGATCCTGCTCCTGTAGAGACCAAGACTCCTTCTGCTCCTTCTATCTCATCTAATATGAAGCCTCCATCTGCCTGATTCCAGGGCAGTAGTGGTACTTGACATCTATGGTACTCATCTCTCATCTGGTCATCTCTTACTGGTTTGTTATGGTCTCTTATTCTCCTTTTCTGTCTTTGACTCTTATGTAGCACTCTTTTAAACCTTCTCACATCACAAGTACAGTAGCTAGTGCTGTACATCCTGTTATTACTTAGTAATTATATGCCTGCAGAAGGTGTTTCTGCATCCCATGCTAATCCTCATCTAAGTTAACTGTGTCTGACACTTTTGGAGTTGGTGATTCTTTGAACTCTTCAGTGAAGTTCAATGGCCATCTGTCTTTTGGTTCTGGTGACTCTAATATCTTTTGCAATTCTTTTGAATCTTTGTGCAGCCAGTGCATGATCTTATCATCAATTTCTATAGAATTGCATGCAAGATATGAGATCATGTGGAATGCTGCAATCTTTGAACCAATTAGTGCACTATCTAGTTCTGCCAGAATGTAGTTTTCTGTGCTTGAGTGGTCCAATACAACTAAGAGACCTAGATACCTCAGTTTCATCTTTGTATTCAGTGCACTCTCAATCTGTGTATTGTGCATTAGAACTAAGTCCCCTCATTTGAAGTTATAGGACTTAATTTTATTTGCATGCATCATTGCATACTTCAATGTATCTTGTTTCTTTTTCTCATCCATATTATTGTGTATCTCTGCTACTTTATCTGCATGTTTCTCTAGTGCTATCACATGCAATCCATAGAGCTCCCAATCCTTTATAATTCTCTCTGGGTACTCAACTAGCCATGTCACTTCTAGCACATCAAGTAGTAATATTGGATGTGCACCAGTAACTGCAAAGAAGGGAGAGCATCCCATCTGTTTTCTAACAGTGATTCTGTCAGCCCATATCACTAGCATGAAGTAATAATGCCACTTTTTCTTATTTCCTCCACATGCTTTGAATAGGCTCTACCACACATCACAGTGTGGTTGTTCTATCCTTTCATTGGCCTGTGAGTTGTATGAGGATATTCTTATCTCCTTTATACCATATTTCCATTCCAAATACACCACTGTGGCTTTGAATTGCTTGCTGTTATCTATTATTATCAAGGAAATACAGCTCCACCAGCATATGATATCTTCAAATAACCATTCTGTGATTGTTTGCACAGTTTCACTCACTAAGGTTCATCCTTCCATCCAGCTAGTTAGCACACAATGCCCATGCACAATATACTTGTGATGATTTGATATCTCTGGCATGTGCATTGTATCTGCATGTAATACCTAGAAGATTGACAGTGTAAAGATCACCATTGGGAGCATCTTGATGATGGTCTTCCGGTGCTCCTGGCATATGTTGCAAGTGCTAACAAACCATAAAATATCATGTTCCATCTCTGGCCACTAAAATCTCTCTTTAATCAACATTTTCATCATATATATACCTTGGTGTCCAAGTTGATCATGTGCAGCTTTCATTATATACATTCTCTTCTCTGGATAGATGACTAGCTTATATTCTGGCTCTATATCTTGTCTATATAGCTTTCCTTTATCCACCATGAAGTTCTTTGCATATCTTATGAAGTTTCAATATTGATTATCATTAAATCCAGATATCTGCATGATAGGGTTCTCATGCCACTGAATTACCTGTGGCAATTGCTTATCTAGCATCTTTGCATATCCACTCCTTCATGATTCATCATAACTCACTATGTCACTGTACTCAGCAGTATCAGAGAGCAGTAGTCCCATGTTATACAGTACTGCATATGTTTCACCATGCTCTAAGGCTTCCTATATTACTTTGTCTTCATGAAAGTCATATACTGCTTTGGCAACTGTTACAAAGCCATGCTGAGTGTCAATTCTCTCTTTAAATTCCACAATGTCTTCTATCTCATCTTCAGTCTCATTGATGAATTCTTATAGTTCCTCCTCTGGTGGACTGTATTCATCTTCTGGATTTGAGTATTCTTCATCTCCTGGCTGGAAACTGCACCTAGATAATTCATCTGGTGCATGTCTCTCATCTGGGATATGTACCAATGTGAAGTGGAACATCAGAATAGACTCTATCCATCTGTTTATCACAGCATTAGGAATCTTATCAGGGTTTCTAAGCATTTCTGCAATGTATTTTGCATCTGTCTCTACCATCAATTTTCTCACTCCAAAGAGCTAATGTTGGCAAGCATGCAGGGCTCTGAATAATCCATAGAGCTCCTGTTTTGGTTGTGAAAAGCACACTTCCCACTCATTTAAAACAATGAAACCAAAGCATGCATATCTCCTTTGCTTTGGGTTATCTGGATCGACTTGACAGATATGGAATCCAACTGCACAGTATGATGTGTCTACTCCCAAAATCACATCTGTGTCCAGTTCATAATCAATTGGCATCAAAGGTGGGCTAGAGCACAATGCATCCTTCAATATCTGCATCAATTCTCTCTGCTCATCTCCAAATTTGAATGATACTTTTAAGTGAGTTAACCTTGTCAAGGCATCTGCTTTCTTGGCATAATCTTTAATGAACATCCTGTGTACTCCCACTGTTTTCAGGAAAGAGTGCACATCTCCTAAGTCTTCACATAGTCTCCATCACATTATTACTTCTACTCTGTCTGTTTTGGGTTTTCTGCCTTCATAGGTGCAACAGTGTCCTACAACCATGATTTCTGATGCACAAAGGACAGCTTTATGATCAGAGAAAGTTCCTCCAGCATATTTCATATGCTGTACCATCTGGTTTATATTCTGAAAGTGTTCCCACACAAATCTGTGAATATCTCAGTTTTTCTTGATAGTTTCATATCCCCTATCTTTAACTTCATAGCATATTTTCAGGCCTCATACCAGAACATCATCTACATATGGTATAGTGATGTGAGATACTTCATCCTTCAGTATATATGTCACATCGTCATGAAATATTGGTACAGAGTTTGTCCATCCTATGGGTAAAGTCATGAGTCTTAGCATGCCAAATGGTGTTTGAAATGTGGTAAGATCTCTAGATCTCTCATCTAAGGTTCTCTCATCATATCCTACATAGAGATCCAATATGCCTTCACAGCAATATCCTGCAAAGTGCTCTGCTAGCTCATCTGTCACCAGAAACACTTCTGAGTGCTTGATTGTGACTGTATTCAAGGGCTCCAGGCTATGGACTAGCCTCAGGCTCTTTCCATCTTTCTTAACCACACAGAACCAACACAAGCAATAAGAGAAGTTTGATGGCTCATACACTCCTGCATTCATTTTAGTTTTTATTATCTTACATATCTGATCAAATATGCCTGGTGGAATTGGTATGTTCTTCTGTATCCAAGGAGTATGCTCTATAGCTGGAATAGTTATAGGAGAAAAGTACTCCTCCTTAAAATGGCCTTGCTCAGTATTATCCCAGGCAAATCCCTCATTCTGCAGGAACATAAACTCATGCATGAGCTTGTGCTCTTTCAGCCAGAAGAAGTCTTCAGAGTGGACTCTGTCAATTATCTCTTTGTGCTCTTGGATGTACCTTCCTGTTGGCATATATTCCAGTGGATGGATACTCAATTGAGGCATGCTCACTAAAGGATCTCCTCTAATTTCATGCACAATGCAGAACTCTGATGGTAATCCTCCTGTAATAGGTTGTATCTTTTGTGCTACTGGCTTATATTTCTTCATCACAAAGACATCTTTTACTGATCCTACTGCTGGTGAAGAATACTCCATGCTGACTTTATCAAAAAGTTTAATTTCTGTGCATCGCTCTGAGCTCTCTTTGCATTGTACCTCACTTACATTCCATGTGATGTTCCTTGCACATGTCTCTGCACCTCCATCCTGTCTTTTTATGTTTTTTATTTCTTTAAGTGCCCCAAAATATAAGGATAAAGTCCCACATGCCTTTGTATCCTTGCCATACACCATTGAGCTCATGATGGCATATACTGTCTGTAATTCTTCTTTCCCAAATACATGTGATTTAGTGGGTTTTGCATATATGCTGATCATCAGATCACTATCTTGATCAGGCTCTATTATTAGTGCTAAATCTCCTTGATCATTAATCAAATCATTGATCATTGAAAACTCTCACTTACTTTGCATGTCATAAACTTTTTCTGTCCCCTAGAGAATGTTGGTACCATCACACATTATGCAGAGTTAGGATTCTTTATCTTAATAGTCTGTCCTCCATCTGCTGTGTTATATACTGTACTTGTTGTTAGTGCATCAAAAGGTCTACCAAGCAATACATCATAGGCAGGATTCTTGATGATATGTACTTATAGATATACTGTGATATCACCAAACAAGAATGAGACATTCTTTGCCATCCCAAGGGACTTCTCTACTTGCTTATTCACAGATTGCATGTTTATTACTTTGTCTGGGTCATATATCAATCCCAGGCTCTCAGCTACTCAGCTAAACATCGACACAATCTGTGAACCTGTATCATACAAGCTTTCAAACCACTCTATACCATTTATAAAAGGGAAGACAGAGCATAAAGCCTGTGAGTCTTTAGCTACATAGACCTGTTTTGGAACTTCTCCTTTCTCTGTGGCATCATTCAGATATTGCTCAAAATGGTCTTGCCAGACCACTATGCCTTCAGGAACCCCATTGCTGACCTCAGTAGTCACCACAAAGTTTCCTTCAAATGGGACCTCTGATAAGTATACTGCATCCTTTGGTAATCCAGTTCTCTTATCATCAGTTGTCTCTGCAAAAGAAAAGGCCTTGGTGACTCTGTCTTCACTCTCTGACTCTGATTCTTCCTCTATGACCAGCCCAAACTGTTGCTTGCTATTTTTCTTGGATTTACCCAGGGATACTCATTTCATAGTCAACTCTTGTTTAACTGCACTGCTAACCTTTGACAGAGCAAGCAATTCTCCAACTGTCATGGCTATGAGAGACTTTATAAGTCACTCCAATACCTTGGGTGGGTTTGCATGCTCTTCTACTGGTGCTTTCAACTGGTAAGCCACCAATTTCTCCTCAGCCAGATAGGACACAAACCCTGTCTTCTTGGGCCATTTTCTTGATGAATCTCCCTTTCTGCCCACATTAGTAATATCTGGAACATTGAGATATGGCATCTCTGGTTCTGGAGTTAGACTACATGCAGTTGGTATGGTCTTGGGCACAGGATCCAGCTGCACTTGCTTTTTGCTTGCTGTCTTTGATGGAAATTCTACTTCAGAATCATCTGATGTATCCTCTACTACCTCAGCTCTAACTGCTCCTCTCTGTTTTTTGTTTCTTATGTCCTCCAGGGGTGATGGTGAATCCGACCTGGCAACTCTATGAGTTGTTGTATGATTCCTGCCCTTCTTTATTAAATGCCTAGAAAAACCCTGCTCTCTGTTCTCATCCAATGGTTCTTGCTCCACTGGTTCATCAGATGGTGGCCTCTTACTGTGAGTCTGCATTCCTGACTCTTGGCTTGTCTGCTGCATCCTCATTGCAAACACCTGGCACTCCAGTTCCTGTTTTTCTTGCAATAGCATGCTATAACCCCCTGGGACATGGAACAGCCCTGGAGTGTCTGTAGCATTTATCACCATATTCTGGCTCTGCAACTTGCCAGCTTTCATGTGTGCATAGTATTCATCAATGCACTCCTTCACATACTGCCCTCTAATATCTTTAGATACCTCTCTCCCACCTGGTAGTCATGCTCTTCTATCGACCATCTCTATTTTTCTAGCCTTGATGTATAAGGCTTTCATGAGGCACTCACTTGAGCAGTGTCCATCTGTATCTGTATAGAAAAAGCATGCATGTGAGTAATTCTGTCCATATCCCATCACTCTTAGATCCGAATTATATGCTGGTGCTTGTGTTCTGTTAGCCTGCTGCTGCATAAACATCATGAGACTCTTTTGGTTTTCTATTATAGCTTTCTCTAAGCTTGCAAGCCTTTTATCACTCACAGAGGTCTGCTGTTCCATGAAATTCTTTATGACAGTGAGCACACTCCCTATCTCTTCTTGTTTCACACTATGCTCTTCTATCATAGTTGAATTGCATACAGCTATAGTTGACCAGTGCTGTTCACATGTGATTGATGTTGAGATTGAGATACCTCATACCTCATCTTGCTTCCTGTCTATGGATGAGAATACACCTTGCAATGCTATTAGTCCAGCATTCATGATCTCTTTTGGTTTGTAGAGATCAGCATTATCTTGTCATGTCAATTCTGTGGGTGGTGGTAACTGCTCTAGCTGTAGTTTAATGGACCTATACAGCTTATCAGACATAAGTGCAAGAAAAGAATCCACCAGTTCTTTGTTTGATAGTACTTTGCTTAGTGCAGATGCAAGTACTTGGAATTCTCTTTTGAATGCCATGAACTGACTCTTGTCATTAATCTGGGCTATGTCATAATGACGTATTAGCTTTTTGAGTTCTAACATTGCATCTCTATCACTGTCTCATATGCCATCATAACAGTCTAGTACTTCAGATTTAAAGTTGTCATATTTTTCATCAGCAGCAAAGCTAGAAAGCACTTTCCACTGATACTCTGTCTTGATATCTGTATAAGATATTGCTGCTTTCTTTTTCTCCTCATCATCATCAATCACACACTTGTCAAAGAGGTCTTCTAACCTTGAGAAGAAACACTCAAGTTTCTTGGGATCAGAGGAACTCTCAAAGCATGGTGCAGCTTTTTCATTCAGTCCTGGTATTAATAGTGCTATAGTTGCAAACTCAGTATTGGTTGGGATTGTCAGATTCAGATTGTGGTTTAAATTAGAGTGTGAGTTCGAAGTAGAGGGTGGTACAATTTCTGAAGAGTTATCTTCACTGGAGTTGATTCAATGTCAAAAAAGACTAAACTCAGGATCGAAAACTGGAGCAGACTGTGATCCTACTTCACTCCTGCATTCCTGGGCAGTGAGCTCTGTTCTCAAAGTATTCTGACTTCATTGATGTGCTTGGTAACAGCTAAGTGACTAAGAAAAGTGAATGAGGAAGGAACTCTCAAACACCAACACCTAACCACTCAATACACAATCACCAAATACAGTTGAGATTGGTTGTTTCAATTACAATAGAAGCACTCTTGCAGTCTTAAGTAAAATCAAAGAAACAGTCAATAAAGACAGTTATTCAACTCTATCCTACTTTCTAAGATGCAATACTCATGATAGTAGTTTATAGCAATATTTAAGTATAATTAGGACTTAGAATCAATCAAAATTATGCTTCAAATCAACTTAGAATATTCCAAAACCCAATGAACTCCAAAACTCAAATACTAAGTCTATCAAGCACTTAGACTTGACTAGCTGCACTCTTGGCTGACTAGCAGTCCTCAAAACTGAAGAACTTGTATTCTGATGCTAAAACCCTTAGAGTTTGAGACCCAAATTAATCCAAAACCCAAAATACAGTTATTATTCCAATCCAATCCTCTCTAAGTGATAAAGCAACTTAAATAAATCACTAAGTTAAAGCAAAACTCAAAATCCATTGTCTCAGAGACTAGCTACAGTGGGCTAAAAGGCCTGAACATGGGTGTGGGTTGCTTGCCTGCTATTTTCCCCTATTTCCTTCTTTTATACATCAACAACAGGTACAGAATCTATAAATAAAGCATTTAAAATAGTATTTCTCCTGTTTAAAGCAGAATCATGCTATTATTCCAGAATGGCAGCACTCCTGGACTCCTCTAGAATTGCCCAGACCTGTATAGCCACCACACAGCTTTATTTTAAGCCTACAGTGCCCATGGGTACCTAACTCCTTTCTGTCTACCCAGAGTTTTAATCCTCTGAGTTATTCTTAGTAGCTCAATCAATCAGGCCTGGTCAGGCCCAGTCAACCGGTCCTATCCACTCTATTCCTCTCAATTCTAAGTCCTTTAGGTCATCTGATATCTAGGAAATTTGGACTTAGGCATTTGAGTCAAAACTCAGAGTGCTAGCCACAGATCATTGGATCTCTCTTCTTACTACTCCTGGATGATACTGTCTTTACTCAATACTCTACAACTGGCTATGGTATTACCCCTAGCTGTCTTAGAATATATTTGTCTTAGTGGCATGTAGAATTGGCCCTATTTGAGGTACTATTTCTAAGTCCAACCTGGACTTAGTATTTTCCAAGATGTGGTGCAGAACTTTTCTAAGTTCAAACCTGACTTAGGATTTTTATTCTTAGGCCATGTTATTTTACAAAGTCCCTTTTGGACTTAGTATTGGTGACTAGCATGACTATCAGCTCAGAGCCTCAGCCATAGTCTTCTACTGGCTAATGATCCTCAGTTACTAGCATATTTTAGTGTGTTATGCAGAATTTGCAAATTATAGAGCTGAACATATACTCTGCATATCACTGCCACCTTTCAATAGATGATGAACAACATATTCAAGGACCTCATCACCACCAGAAAGGTCACAATATGCCTGGATGACATCCTTATAATGTCCTGGGATCAAGCTGAACATTGCAGGCTGGTCTGCCAGATGTTGGAATTGATGAAGAAGCATAAACTATTTCTCAAGGCAGAGAAATGTGAATTTGAGATATTGGAAATGGAGTATCTGGAGGTCATCATTAGTGAAGAAAGTATCCAAATAGACCCAGTAAAGGTCATCAGTGTCACTGAATGACCAGAACCAATGAGAAAGAAAGAACTCCAGTCATTCCTAGGGTTCACTAACTTCTATTGCTAATTCATACAAGACTACAGCAAAATAGTCTGCCTAATGATACAGCTAACCAGCAATGCCCTCTGGATCTGGGGATCATCACAGCAAGCAGCTTTTGATAATCTAAAGTAATAACTTGCAGAGGATATCATACTCACTATCCCAACCCAGAATGAGAAGTTCCAAGTTGAGGCCAACTCAAGCAAAGGAGCTATAGAAGCAGTGCTTTTGCATGAGCAGAAGGGGAGGTGGAGGCCAGTAGCATTCCTCTCAAAAGCTCTCTCTGTGATGGAGCAAAACTATAAAATATATGACAAGAAGTTACTCACAATTATGCTCACCCTAAAAGAGTGGTGACACTATCTGATCAGTGCTGTCTAAGTCTTTGAGATATGAACAGATCATCAAAACCTCCAATACTTCTGACAACTGCAAAAACTAAACCAACAACAGGCTTGGTGGGTGACTGAACTGAGCCAATACCAGTACACTCTACATCACAAGACAGAAACAGCTAACAAGAAGGCCAACCTTCTCAGCTGACAGGCAGACCATGATCAAGGAGGGAATGACAATAATAGCATTATCCTATTAAGGCCTGAACACTTTCAAGCCATGATAATGCCAACAGAAGAGGAGATACATGAATGAATCAAAAATGCCATACAAGATCTCAGCAAATGGGATTAACATGTGGCCTCATTTCTTAACCACAAATGAGGAATGAAGAAGGAGAGGGAAATGATTCAATATGATGGAAGGATCTGTTCTCCAAGATCAAGAACTTTGAGAGAAAATCATCACCATATACTATAACCATGCAACAGCCAGACACCTGGGAATTGCAAAAACTAAGGAGCTCATCTTGTGAGAATATTGATAGCTAAAACTAGGACAAAATATTGAATAATACATCAAAGAGTGTGAAACCTGCCAGTGCAGCAAGTCCTCCACCCAACCATGAGCAGCACCTCTATATTCCAATGAGATCTCTTCATCACCATGAACCCATATCATAGTAGACATGATTACCAGCCTGCCAGAATGCAACAGGTATAATGCTATATTCATTATCATAGATAGGTTCTTGAAGGCCATTATTTCAATCACATGCTCAATGGAATTGACTTCAGAAGGATGGGCAAAGATTCTCTGAAATGAAGTATATGCCAAATATGGAATGCCACAAGTTGTAATCTCAGATCATAGCTAAAGTTTGTCTTCAAATTCTTGGATGATCTATACTGGCTACTCAACATTCACCAAAATACATCAACTGCATATCACTCTCAAACTGACAGTCAAACTAAATGTGCTAATCAAGAAATTGAAAAGTACCTATAACTTTTTATTAACTACCATCAGGATGACTGGCTCAAATGGCTGGCTCTCACTGCCTTTCAGCACAACAATCACATACACTCAGCAACTGGCAAAATCCCATTCTTCATTAATCATAGCTGACACCCATTTATCTTGCATATCATAAAAGCAAACACCACTACTCCTACCTCCACTAACTTCACCACCATGATTATCTGCATTCATAACAAAACTAAAATCACCCTGGAATGTGTGGCCTCCACAATGAAGGCCCAATATGACAAACACCAAAAATCTACACATTCTTACAATATTAATGACAAGATCTGGTCGGACACCACTAACCTCCATCTTCCACAACCAAAGAAGAAACTCAATGATAAGCAAATGGGCCCATTCTCCATTCTTGCTAAAGTCAGGTCATCAGCATACAAGCTATGCATTCTCCCTCACTGGAAGATCCACAACATCTTCAATGAAACACTTCTCACTCTCTTTGTAGCACCTGCCTTTCTGAATCAAGAACATCCACCTCCTCCACCTCCTGACCTCATTGATAATGAAGAACACTATAAAATTGATCAGATATTAGACCATAAACTTTGTAAGATCAAAGCATGCAGCAGGAGAACAACAATGATGATGGACTACCTTATCAGCTGGAAAGGCTATAGGCCAGAGTTCAACTAATGGATGAATGAGAAATGCATGGATGCTGCAGATGCTATCTCAAACTATGAACTATCCTTTAATTAAGCCATCAGAATGATGATCTTAAGAAGGAGGTAATGTTATGATTTTTCCTTTACTATCACAAATTAACCCCTATTTATACTTAGTCAGAGCATCTAGACCAGTGCTTAGGATTATGAGAGTGGCTTAGCCATCACAACAATGCCAATTCAGCATTGTCCTCTGATATAATGATCAACCCTCAATGACATGCAACTAACCTTTTGTGTATAGTAGTGACACTCAAGAGCAATGGGCATAAGGGCTTAGAAATGGACAATAGGTAGTTTTATATTTAGCTCCACAGATATACAGTATATAAGAGACTCACTCTCACTGGTGAATCCTCAGCTTTGAGCTAAAGTTTATCTTTACACCATTCTACTCTTAAGCCAATCATAAGGCCTTATCACATAAAAATCAGTACTCACATTAGTGGACTCTGATGAAACACTTAAACACAAAGTGACATCAGTTTATCACATGTCTACAATCATGTGCAGCTTGAGTCTAACAAGCTGTTACTTGGAGCTCAAAAAAATAGCCCACTATAGCTTTATCCACTATGGAAGCAGAATATATGGCCCTTACATATACTATCTGGGAAGTAATTTGGCTATAAGTACTCTTAACTGAATTAGGATTGCCACCTTATAAAGTGACAACTATTTTCATCAACAATCAATCAGCAATCAAATTTGCTGAGAACCCTATATTCTATGCATGATCAAAGCATATAGACATATAGCACCACTTTGTTCATAAGCATATGGCTTTAAATAAAGTCAAAGTTCAACACTGCACATCAGAGGAGAACTTAGCAGATATATTCACTAAAGGCCTACCAAGACCATTATATGAATATCTATCTGCAGGTATTCTAGAAACTCAGAATTGAGGGAGAGTGTTGGGATAGCAATCCTGAGTGAGTATGAGAATGTACTCAAAGATACAATACC